CAAGCATTCAGTAACAACAACATCTGAGATATCAATCTTCATATGTTCCATGTCATGTTTGACAACTTTCAATTTTCCTAGATTCATACTTTGTACCTCCCATGTTCTAATTATTAATGAATGTTTGCAGCTGTTTCTTCTCATTTTGAGTTGTGTCCCATCAGCAAATGAAAATCCCAAAAACTTTGCTCCATTCGCGTCATTATGGTGAACTCTGCTTTGAAGAGACAGGTCTTCTCCAGTTGTATTTTGAGTGCCTTCCAACAGGAGGGGTTCATCTTCCAGCTCTTTATCTGCTTCTATTCATATTGTTTTCACCTTCTGGCACTACATCTGACAATGTTACACTGTCTGCCTTTCTTTCTTCCTAGACTCAGTCTGGAAACTCCACTGAAACCTGTGCACTATCGGAGGCCCTGCTGATATTTAAAATACCGTGGTATAGCTTCCAGCATAACACAGCAACATGCAAGCCACCATTATACGACAAGCTGACAGACAAGTGGTGGACTAGTTGGGGGGAGACTTATTTTTCAATGTATATATATAGTATTTTGTGCTTATGAATTTTGTGCCAGGTGCATATGTTATTTATTCAAGAAAATCCATTAAAACTATATATATGATTTTATTTTATTTTTAAGTAAAGGTAACAACTAGGTTTCCTTCAGGACTCTTCTAGGTTAAGAAAGAAGGCAGGACTAAAGGAGGCCCTGTCCTTGACTAGAGCTGGGGGTTTGCCAAGAGGGTATCCTCTGCTTGGATGCCAACAAGGGGGAGGGGACAATCTGGTCAAGGTACCCCAAAAGTCCTGACTCCTCCACTGGTCTTTTCTCAGGACCTACCCAGGCCAAACAGAGCCTCTGGAAAGTCTCACTGATGGATAGTGAAGATGAGAATGAGATCCAACCAGCTTCAGAAGCAAATGACAGACAGAGTTGAGTCCTGGCTTGTCCAGAGGTAGGAAGCCTTTTCATTCATTCATCTAATCATCCATCTATGTAATCGCTAAGCATTTATTGAGTAGCTATAGATGTAATAGCTATAGATGTAAAGATACAACTGGGACCAAGATCAGCAGGATCCCTGCTTTACAGCCTCATGTGGAGATAGACAAACCCACAGATATTCTAATTTAATGTGGTGGATATTGTCATTGAGGATGGTTATAAGTCTGTGGGAGTTTAGGGGGTACTTCCCAGAGATGCTGTGTCTCAGCTGACACCTGCAGGAGGAAGGAGAAATGCTAGGTCAAGTGTGAGAGCAAGAGGGGATTGTATGTACGAACAAAAGCTGGAAGGCAGACAAGAACTTCATTTGTTCAGAAAATGGACAAAAGGCTAGTGTGGATGGTGTCTGCCGAGGTAGGGAAAGCTTAGGGAGAACAGAGCTGAGTAGGTGGCCAGGCCCTGGTCATCAAGGGTACAGGCCACGTTAAGAACTTCATAATGGTCTCTTTGAGCGTCTGCTCCCGTGATCGTCACATGGTTTGGAATGTCTCTTCCCCCAGCTCTGAGTAACAACTTCTTGCTCAATCTCCTTTAAATCTCAAAAGAGATTGACTCAAAATATATCCTGCAGTAACTCTGCCTCATTAACAAACACAGCAAACACAACCTGTTCACACATGGTATCAGAGGTTAGAATTTACACGATAACTCGGGGTGGGGTGACATAATCCAATCCATAACGGGGCTGGGGGTGTGTGTGGGAAGAGTCATCTGACCAACCAGCCCAAAGATTGTTGCAATAAAGCCAGGGGAGACATGGGGCTGGCTTAAGTGAGGGGGGCAGTGGTGTCCAGAGGTAGGAAAAGCTTTTCATTCATCATTCACTAGTCACCCACCAACACAAACCCAATGCTGTCAAGTCGATTCTGACTCATAGCAACCCAACAGGATTTCTAAGATTTACAGAAGCAGACTGCTTCGTCTTTCTCCCACAGAGCAGCTGTGGGTTCAAACCAACAACCTTTCAGTTAGCAGCTTAATCCTTTGCACCACAAGGGCACCTTATCCACACATTCGCTAAATATTTACAGACTGCTTACTGTGTATATGAAGATAGGGGAGAGGAATGGACAGAACTGAGACTTGTATCTGGAAATGAGCCATCAAATCTTGATTATGGGTCTTTCCAGTGACAGAGAGAGCTGATTCCTAGATTTTTGTGTTGTCTGGAGCACTGGTGGGACTGTTTGCGGAGAAGAAAAGCCTAGCAAAGCAGCAGGTGTGAGGTAGGTGAATGAAGAGCTCCATTTGGGAGACACAACATTTGAGATGATTTTGGAAATACAAACAGATATCCAATAGGAAGTGGGATATAGGAGTCTAGAGCTCAGGGGAGAGGTCTGGGCTGGAAATATACATTGTGAGTCACCAGTATATAGATGGTATTTAAAGCTATGAGAATGGATGAGATCACCTCAGAGAAAGATTATAGATAGAAAGAGAAGGTCCGTGGCTAAGCTGGGTAGAGGAGGTGGAGGAGCCCACGGAGATCCGAGAGTGCAGCCCTATCTATGCTGGATGTTGGGAATGGTACACTCTACTGACACACAGAGGAAAAGAGAAGTAAAACTAGACTTGATGTTAGAAACTAGGAGCTGACCATGGTGAAGTTGCTGTGAAAATGGGTGGGCTAGTATTTTGGGGTCCCTGAGAGCAGGATAGATGATGTATGCAGAGGAGGGGCCTCTATCTGTAGGGCAAAGAACTCCTCACATCCCAAAGACACATGCTTGGCTCTGAGGGGGTCATGAAAATCGCCTGTCAGGGCTGTGGGAGAGGTCAGCCCACTGAGGCTTTGTCCTTATAGTAAGACCAAGGAAACCCTGAAGTCTCCTTGGCCTTGGTGGAGCGGAGAATAGCTGTGATAGGCAGGCTTACCTGCCAATCAGAGGGGAGCTAACTCTTTAAAGCAGAGATGGATGCCCAGCAACTTGGAAATTGGCTACCCAAAGTGGGGTGGGGGTGCCTACAAAAGCAAGAAGTGACTGGCTTACAAGCTCTCAAGAGGGAGCCTACATCCAGAGGGCATGGAGGAAGGTATAATCTCCACTGAATAGTATCCAATCTGTCTCAGCGGGGCTGATGAAAGGTAATTCCGATAGGTCTCTTGTTATACAATAGTGAATAATTGCTACCAGGACTGATTGTGAGGGTTGGAAATGTAAAGGTAGACGTTTTGTAGCAAGGAGGGGAGTGATTAACTTTGCAGTCCAGGAGCAAAGGTCCCTAGGACCATCAAGGGAGAAGAGCAGAGAGCGGGACCCTACCCAGAGAAACAGTGACTCCAGAGATGGAGGCAGAGATGATGATGTGGAGAGATGGAGCAACTAGGGACTTTGGACCCAAAAAGGGTGAGGGGCTGTGTGCTGACCACGGGGGGCAGGCTTGTAGTGTATACCCTTTAGTTGGTTGATGATGCATGGAGGGGACTGTAACCATGGCAATGAAATGATATATGATAGGATGAATGTAAAGCTAATGTTCTTCCATGTAAACTATCACATAATACATAATAAAACATTAAAAAAAAAAAAAAAAAAAAAAGATGGATGCCCAGGAGTGGCAATAGTTGCTGGGAAGGGACAAATAGAGAAAAGAGGGAACTAGAAAGGACAAATGGGGATCCCGGCCCTTTCATTGTTCCTAAGTAAAAGAAAGTCAGACCCAAAAAGGGAAGCCTGTGGTTTTCAGGACTGGCCAGGGGACTTTCTGCCTGTTGTCTCCTACCGGGATCTCTTTTCCTGTAGCATCAAATGCAAGCTGGGGGGAGAGGCCAAGGAGGGTCTGGAGAGGGGGACCTGTACCTCTCTGGAGTAAGCCCACCGCCATTGAATCATTCCAGCTTATATTGTATTGTTTTGTTAAATGTCATTGAGAAGGTTCGGACTCATAGAGACCCTGTATAGGGTTACCCAGGAACAGCTGGTGGGATAGCGACCTGGTATAGGATTTCCAAGACTAAATCTTTATGGGAACAGACAGCCTCATCGCGACTGGTGGGTTTGAACTTCCAGCCTTGTGGTTAGCAACTCAATGCTCAACCCACTGAACCACCAGGGCTCCTTTCCTTAGGTTGTTGTTGTTGCTAAGTGCCATTGAGTCAGTTCTGACCCATAGTGACCCTGTTATAAGGTTTCCAAGGAGCAGCTGGTGAGCTTGAACCATCGACCTTGCAGTTCAAACGACTTTGCAGTCTGGTGCATTAACCCACAGCGCCACACCAGGACTCCTTGGGTAAGAAGCAGTAAAACAGGAAGGCAGGATGGATATTGCTGCCACCTAGTGGTGAAAGTCTGCTATTTCATTTGGGTTCCTAACTCCTCAGTTAAATATGAGAGACAAGTTTTGGAGATCCCTGTGTTTCTGAATTTGCAAACACAATGCAAAGGGGAACTTCAGGAAAGCAAACACCCACCCCTGCTGAGAAGTGTGCATTGCCTACATTACTTTGCCCTTCTGTGACTTGATTCCTTCTTCAAGGGGAACAACAGTATCTACCTCACAGGTTGTTGAGATAGTTAAGAGTCAACCAATGTAAAGGACTCAGCACAGTAATAAGTGCTCAAAATGCTACCTGTGGAGTCTTGGTGTGGCGCTGGATTGCAGGGTAGGTTTGACCCACAAGGTAAGCAGTTCTAACTCACCAGCTGCTCCTTAGAAATCGTATACAGGGTCACCATGAATCAGAATGGACTCAACAGTACTTAACAACAACATGGTACCTAGGGGTGTTTAGCCCTGCCCCACTCCCATGTGGCACTGCTCAAGTTCAGTGTCCCTTAGTCTTGCTTTTTCACTTCCTCATCAATTTGGGGTTGCCTATTACTGCAGCAACAGCAGCAGCAGTTCCAAGGTCCCATCGCTCCTTTCTGACCCAGGGGCTTGTGGGGAGGGTCCCACTTTCTCTCTCCCCTCACCCTATAGGCTGTGATCAGAATGGATCTGGGCTGTGACATCATAGAGCTCACCCCTGGAGGGAGCTGAGTAGTCATGAGACCAAGGTGGTGGCTGTGGATGTGGTTGTGGCTGGCTGGACTGGGGGTCATAGATTCAGGTGGGAATCTGTTGGGGGAGTAATGGGTATGGAAGAATGGGAGGAAAGGACCAATGTCCCTTAGGGAATGGGAGGCCACACCTGGGTTGGTCTCTCTTCTCTCAACCCCATGTGAGCCCTCTCACAGAGTCCAGCTGGCCCAAGAGTCCCTGGAGACAAAATCAAATGCCTCCATAGCCACACTAAGGCCCTACGCAGGCCCCAGCCACTGGGAAGGCTAGGGCCTGTTGGCCTGCTTACAGACTTTGCTCTGGGCCCCCAGCCCCCAGGCCAGAGAAGGTCAAGGCCGAAGGGACAGAGTCTTTGCGCTTCATAGACAGACCTGACTTCTTTGATTACCCAGACTCAGACACAGCCAGGGTCCTGGCCCTGTCCCAGTTCATTGGAGAGAACCCTGACATCTTTGTTGACTCAGGTATGAGCCAGCGTGAGCAGGAGCCTCCCTTCTTGCTGGAACCTGGAGTCACCGGTTTCTTTCTGCTGCTCCCTGTCTAGCAGATTCCAGTTCCGACTTCTTCCACTGTATCCTGGTGGCTGCCCTGGTGCTGGCCTTCATCTTCCTCCTTTTGCAGTTCTGCATCCACATGTGAGCCCCCAGCCCTCACCCACCTCCACCTTCCTCAGGCAAGACTGAAGGACCCACAGCCCAGGGAGGCAGCCTGTGACGCCCCCACACCATCCGATCTCTATGTCCTATGTTGTTGTTATGTGCCTTGGAGTCAGTTCCGACTCATAGTGACCCTGTACAGGGTTTCTGAGGCTGTAAATCTTTATGGGAGCAGAAAGCCTCATCTTTATCCCACGGAACAGCTGGTAGTTTCGAACTGCTGACCTTGTGGTTCGCAGCCCAATTCGTAACCACCACGGTACCAGAGCTCCTTCTATGTCCTATAGGAGCTGCCAAAAAGGGGCCTGAAATTCCAAGAAGTGCTCTGGACCCGGTCCTGAGAGGCCAAATCCACCTCGTCTTTTGCTGAGAAATAAAGTCCTGGTTTCCTTCTTCCCTCTCTCTTGGGAACCCTAGCTTATTCTCCCCAGGCGCCCAGCCCCCTGCCAGCCCCAAAGAACTGAGTGTGAAAGGGCTGGTGGCATCACAAAGGTCATCTTTATTAGCGGTCTGGAAAGCACCTCCCAGGGCCCCCCGACCCCAGGTGGGAGGAAGCCTTGAGCTCTCTGTAGCACCAGGGACATGCCAGGGCCCAAGGGCAGATGTGCAGCCTATGGGGTAGGGAGTTGGGGGGCAGCCATCTCCCTCCCCCCAGCAAACTAGTTTGGAAAGTAATAAATGGATTTGGATTGGGGAGAATAAATAAAATAAATAAGTTCCCTCAGACCGGTCTCCCTGGTAGAGAGCTGTAGGGGCAGGAAGCTCCGTGAGACCCACAGGGGTTGGTTGGGGTGTCCTCAGGTACCCAGATAACAGGGAGCTGAGAAGCGGAGCAGCAGAGGGCTGGGATGTCCTTAGTGGGGGGCCTCCCCATGTTCTTTGACCCATAGTCCCTTGCATCCTTGTTGGTCTCCCCATGAATCCTCAGATCTTAAGTGGATGGGTGCTTCCTTCAGTGGTTCACTGGCTTCTCCAAGGTCCCCAGGGTGGGTGACTGGAGAAGGGGCTGTGCAGGAAGGGGCCATCCACCCTCAGTTCAGGTGCCATGAGGAGAGGAGGTCCTCCCTCTTCCTATCTTCTTTCACCTAGTCTCCAACCTTCAGCCACAGAGGGAAGGTGTTCCTTCATCCTTCCAAGTCCACCTGCCAGTCCTGCAGCTGTCAGGACAAGAGGCCCCTGGCTCCCAACCCCACCCATCAGTCCCAGAGCCCTGTCCCCATGGGGGGGCCCCCCTGAGCCCCACCCTCAGTCTTGGGTCTGACAGGGGGAGGGCGGCCTGGAGCCCCGGGGCCGGAAGAGGCGGCAGGCCCCGCGGCAGATGAGGAAGAACCAGTAGAGCTGGGGGGCAAGCAGCAGCGCGGCACCCAGGTTGACGTGGGCTGGGAGGGCGAGGGGCACGGAAAGGAGAGGCAGGCCGGCATGGCGCCCGTAGACCCAGTACAGGTAGGGGAAGAGCAGCACACGGCAACACAGGAAGCTGAGCAGCATCAGGGCCCCATTCACCTTGTGCAGCAGAGTGTGCTGCTGCTTGTACTGTGGACGGAGAGCAGGATGGGGCGGCCTGAGCGTGGGCCTCTGCCCCCTGCCCACAGTCTGCCCATTGTCCCACCCACCCCTTTGCCAACCTACTCCCCTCTTCTAGGGTAGGAGCCAGGTAAAAGTTCCCAGATCTCCGCTCCTGCCTCCTTCCTTCTGGGGCTAAAACTTCCCCTCTCCTTTAAAGAGTCACCCTGCGGGGTGCCCTTCACTTAGCAAGGCTCACCCCCTGCCATTCCTGTGCCCACTCTTCAGGCCCAGATAGCCTCAGGTACCCACCCTCTCACCTGGATGAGGATCTTGCCAAGGCAGACGAAGGGGGTGCTGACCTCTGCCATCAGCAAGCAGCCTAGAAAGAAATCCCCCTTGCCCTGACGCCACACCTGAAGAGAGGAAGGGAGGTGAGGGGGGCGGGCCTCCTCCTGGATTCCTGGGAAGCCCCTGCCCTTCCTAGGTCCCCTCTGGCACTTTTGGAGCTGCTTAGCTCTGACAAGTGTGAACACATGCGTACAGGAGCATTACCTCACTGCCTCCCCAACAATCCTGCAGGTAAGATTTTAAACCTTATTACAGATCGGGAAACTGAGGCTCGGAGACATACAACACCTCCCAAGCACCAACTGGGCACAGAAGCCCTGGCCAGGCTGACTGGGGGTGGGCTGGTAGAAGGCATTCCCTGGCCTCTGACCTGGGTTTAGGGCTCCCGGGGCTCTTAAATGACAGGCTCGGGCAGGGCAAGGAGGAGCTGGACTCACCACCGAGAGTGGGAAGCACACCAACACCATGACCGCGTGGTGGAGCACCATGAGGAACTCCTTATGCAGGTAGCCGCGCGCCACGGCCCAGGTGCTGCCAGGAGGGCGGGGGCGGACCCCCTCATCGTCCCCACCATGCCCCTTGACCTGGTGCTTGTGCCAGTGGCAGAGGAACATGGCATAAATGTCATAGATGAAGTAGGGCACAGCAAACTGTGTATAGGCAGAGGACAGCCAGTGTCTGTGGGCAGAGAGAATAGGCAAGGAGGAAGAAAGTAAGACAGTTAGCAGCTGCCAGAGGCAGGGGCAGTCAGACCCCATGTGACCACCATAGCAACCCTTAGGTGTACAAGGTCTGCCCAAGGTCACAGCCATACAAACGCAGAACTGTCAGACTTCAAACCCCATCCATTCTTCATATTCTTATACCTGTTCCTTCCCCACCAAGGGGGGAGACAAAAGCTAAGAACCACAGAACACATAGATGAATGAATTCAGTCAAGATCAGGGACATAGATGAGGTTGGGACATAAAGAGCAGAAGTGAACAGTGAAATCACTAGGTGGGTGTGGACCACACCCCAGACACCATCAGAGGAGGTGACATCCAGGTGACCCCAGGGCCCTTGGAGCCGCTGACACTGCAGGAGAAGCTGCTAAGGAAGTGGGGTCACTAACGTGGGTACCACCAGTCGCCACCCTCTCCTTCTCCCACCCTGTCACCCAGTGTGGTAGCTTATCAGATCCTCACTCCCATCAGTGTGTAAGAGGGTCTCCACCTTAGCCAATGGATGGAGGGGAGGAGCTTCAGGAAGCCATCGGAAGGTGGTAGGCACTATGAGTTACCACAGTGGGTGACATTAACCCTAGTGATGCTACTGGAGAGCAATTGGGCGGGGGGATAATCTGGACTTACATTTTAGAGTGCAACACCGCTCTAATCTTTTCAAGCTTTTGCAGACGTAAATTCATCTACTCCCTTCCAAAAAACTTATAAAAGGTAGATAGAATTATCATCCCCATTTTACAGGTGAGAAGACTGAGTGACAGAGAGGCGAGATGAGCCAGGAGCAAGCCTTGATCTCACCCCCATGTCCCTAGCAGACAGAAGAGGAGTATGAGAGGCAGGCCCCGATGGGGACTTAGGGGTGCCCTCAGCACTGTGTGCTCTGTCTGAATGTGGCCCAATCTCTTGGGGTTTTTTTTTTC